TGGGGGCTTTTAGAGCTATGCACACCTGCGCTCCACTCTAGGCGCTACTGATCGGCCTGCTTTTGAGAGGGGCCAAGCGCTTTTCAAACTGCCAGGGATGCCAAAGCCCAAGGGAAGCATAGAGCTGCCACACTCGTCTGTACCCCCTGGTCTGGGGTACAGGCTCGGAGCGCCTTTGTGGGTGAACCCCTGTGGCCGGGCCTGGCTTCTCTGGCCTGAGGTTCTTGGAGCCTCTTTGCCTCTTGGGAAGGGGGCGGCAAAGGTGCTCCTGGCAGCTCTGTCCCGTGTGCAGCACAGCCTGACCGTCACGGGTGGGGTTCAGCTAACCGATGAGGCCTGGGTTAGTTTGGTAACTCTCACAAGTCGGCTGCTCTTGAGTGCTCACAGCACCCACCAAGACGCGCCGAACCCCAGATGTGAGCATGTTCAGGCTGGTGACGTGCATCTGCTTATGTTTCAGGAGATGAGAGCGCAGGGGGTGGTCTGCAAGCAAGTGTTCAGGAAGGTGCAGTGAGGCCCTGCCGACAGCCCCACGCAGAAGCGGCGTGAAGCTCGGGCCAGGATCCCCTTCTCTGCACAGCATGAAGCAGAAATACCCATCCTCTCTGCCCGGGCACCTGTGCGCCCAGTCCGCCTCTTGACTTTCTCTCTTTCCCTTTCCTTAAAATAAAGCCCCCCAATAAAGTTTGTCTCGACTCTAGAAGTCTGTTGTGTCAACGTGTCAAATCCCCTGTGCTCCTTTCTCCTCTGGGGCTTCCGAGGCCGGGTTCTCTGATGCCCACACTGAGCAGAAGAGACTGAGCCTCCCACCTGCGGGCTGTGACCTGAGATGACACGGCCACGTGTCTCCCCAAGGCGCAGGTGCGAGTGCCTGATGCTCGTCACCTGCGTAGTCAAGACGATACAGACCCAGTCACAGCCAGAAGGTCGCAGGAGAAGCCAGCACCTGTCTTCCCACGCCTGGGCCTTAGAGCTTAGTTAAGGAGACTCAGACCACAGGGAACAACGTAATACGTGCACCGTACACATAGGGTACATTCAGAAATTATCTGGGAATAAAGTGGAACTAACGACAGAATTTTAAGCCCCAAACTGGAATGAGATGAATGTTAATCAAGGCATTTATGTACTGGATTTGACTTCCGAGGTGTCTAAGGTTAAGGTGACCAGATTTTAACATTGGTAAAGCGGGACACCATTGATAAAACTCATATCCTGGTGAAATAGCCACATGGCAGCCAAAAACTGTATACCCTAGC